TCTCCCACACGAATACACAAACAACGCCACACAAGCTCACGCACACTCGCACACTCTCCAAGCAAGCTACTTTTCAAACTCGCCCTGCATATACCTCCACGACAGTTGAAATGTTCTCTCGCTCCCTCTCTCTGCGGGGACCTGTAGAGGGAACAGTAGAGCCATAAAGGCCATATGCTGGCCCATTCAGATGTAATAGCAGGAAGGCCTGGGGAGGCCCAGTCAAAGGAGCTACGCTCCATTATGGTACATTATAGAGAAGAACAAGAGAGGAGCACTGTGAGTGTTTCTGTGTGTAGTTTCTGAGCAAGTGTGTGTGAGAGTGTGTGCGAGAGAGAGCGTGAATGAGATTGTGTATTATCTACCCTGCAGGAACAAAAAGTTGTTCTCACAATCATCATGTTGAGACCTCCATATGGGGACGAGAAGATGGTCCCCACATGACCAGCTGGTAAAACTGGTGAAAGTAGTTTAAGGATTACGTGATGGTTATGTCAAAGATTCAGGTGAGGCAGGAAGCGCTCATGGTTATGTGCGAGGGTACGGCTCTGAAAGATGAATGCAAGTCAATGCGGTGTCCTCTCGAGCGACTGAAACTAGGCTGTGTGTGTGTGTGGGGGGGGGATGAGAACCAGACTGCTGCAGCTGGGTCAGTGCAGTCAGACCCCGCAGGGGTGTCTTGTTAGACACACACAAACACACACACACACACTCTGGCCCGACAACAACAGTAACCTCTGAGGTCAGACAGAGCTAGCGCTGCATTAGCCCCAGTGTGAACCCGCTGAGAGACAGAGCGAGCCAGTACAGCTGGTGTTAACCACCCAGAACATACACACTGCACACGGAGTGGCAGAAAAAACCCACAGTGGTACCGGCACAGACGTCATAACTGTGCCGCCACGCCGTCTGTGTGCTGCATGTACAACTAAATAAACACGTCCAGGTTTGCGTGTCGCGTTGCTGGTTAAAAAGTGGCTTTTGTGGAGACTTGACTACGTCTCAGATGATGATGAGATTAATAGAATCAATGAAAGGTAAACTGACACATCTCACAGGGAGAGGAAGCACCTGTCTGAAGAGCCCTGCTTCTGCTTCTGCCTTTTATAAAGGGTAACAAGTCCTTGAATACGTGCTTCTGCTCATGAGCAGTGTTATTTTCATGCGTACGTACGAGCTCATCTTTCCTGCCAAAATCTGTGCTCTTGTATGGCGTACCTGGCGGTGCAGCGGTACTGTATCCGTGCCCGTGGGAACTCGCTTGTTTCGAGCTGTCAGTCAGGCGTGTTTATTTTTCCGCTGTAGTTCCAGGTTCCTGGTGTCCAGCTCTGTGGCTTGGATGGCGGAGCGCCGACAGAGCGCTCACACGGGGAGGGCGGAGCAGTGGGCCGGGTGGGAAAGTGAGGTAGAGCCGGAGGGTGGATGTACCTGCTTCTCTCTAGCTCCGATGCAAAAGAGAAGCAGGTACATGTGCAGCTGCCTCTTACATGGAAAGCGATGCACACGAGTGAAGAGGCACGCTTGCCTAACAGCTGTGTGTGTTTAGCTGAAAGTCAGTCAACTGAAACATCATCAGCAGATATGATGATTGATGATTTTGCTCTGATAATTAAAATTAAAAATTGCAGCTATTCGGCGAGAGAGCAGTAGTATCACAATGTCGTGCAAACTTATCTATGCCAAACTTACTCTACAAGTTCTATATCTTTCTGATTGGCTGCCTCTTGCAAGCAAAACTATTTGAACAGCTTCTGGGAGGAGCTTCTGTGCATACAGCCAGAGCTGTGATATCCCTGCTCAGGGACATCACACAGAGCCAGGAGTAGAAAAGAACAGTCTGAAACTCAGCACTTAGAGCAATCTGAAGCACGCTCACATTCATACCTACAATTTAGAATAACCAATTAGCCTCATGTGCGTGTCTTTGGACGGTGGGAGGAAGCTGGAATAGTCCAAGTATGTCAACAGGAAAGCCCCACCCTGCCAGTGGATTCAAACCTTTTTGCTATGAGCTGACAGCGCTAACAACCACTGCACTGTAGTTATAATATATATTAGTATAATAGGTCCACTTTAGGCAAGAGTGCAGAATATTTGCATAAAGTTATGTTTATTTTAGATTTTTATACATTTAAATTTTGAAATTGGCCCTTTTATTAGGAGAAGTGTAATCTAGTGTATTTGAGTAAACTGCACTAATACTGTCAACCAGCGAGTGTCAAGGGCACTCCCATAATCCTTTACCTTTAAAATGATGTTAAAGACACACCTCCCCCCGGCAGCCCGCTTTCAGTGCTCATACTGTACCTGCAGGTATATCAAAGCCAGCACACACTCAGCACCTGAGACAAGATCCTGCTATCACCTGTGAAGAAAGAGGGAGATCTTATATTTGCACTCACCGCCACTCATCTTGCACACATGCTCACACACACACACACACACCTGTAATGTTACTTGATAGCCAAGTGCTTGACAGAAGCTCTGGCAGACTAGCAGATAAGTCTGGTCTGGCGGTGGGTGGTCCCGTTTCTCCACATTGATGCTAGTAACAGGTTTCTAGCGGCGTGACTGCTGCCAGAGTCAGATGATGCTGCTGTAGTACGAGACGCGGAGGTCAGAGTTGACGTTAGTCCCGTGATACGGCGTCACTTTAACGTAGAGGTGTTTGCTGTGAGAGATTAACTTATGAGTGGTTTCAGCTCATTTGCTCTAAAAATATAAACTGAAACTGTAGTTCACATAGCAGTGATTGAGTCTTCAGTTCAATGTTGATTTAAGTGACAGAATAATTTCAGTTATTTTCAGAGAGGGATTTATTCTTCTATTTCATTGCCATAATGATGTTTGATTGGGTTTAAATGTTTGGCACTTCTTTGGAGAGTGGAAGTGAGCTCCAGAATTAAGCTTGCTTTGGCCCTTGATTCTGTTTTGGACGGTTTTAACTCTGGCAAACCGGATCAAGTGTCATCACGGCAGAATTTAGAAAAATAATACCACGTTTGAAAATACCCTGAATTATCCTTTGGCAGCAGTGCTGTAATTGAATGCTGATTACAGGCCACTTCGTGAATTGATCTGACCCCATCCTGGCAATTAACAATTCCTGCGCATGGAAGTCAATGCGGCCCTTTGAAAATGTCAGTGACAGATCTTATTAGAAGCATTCTTTGTTGGTGTAACAGATTAAATATGATGGTTGTGAAGAAATTCTACATATTTACAGTGAAATTTAATTTTTAATTTTCTCATTTTGACCTCTGATGAAAGAGATAAAGAGGGCTTTGCTATTGTATACAAGCGGCATGTTAACAACGGATTGCTTTGTGCACAATGAAGTGAAGTGAGGCAGAATTAGAGTCCCAGTAGAACTTTGGTCATCTCTTTCAGATCATTTACTACTTTGTCTCCCGTCAGTATCGTGTTTTTCAGATATTATGCCATACTCATTTTCCTCTGAGTGCTGGTGATGTGTTTTTGATTTCCCGTAATAATGTCCAGGAGAGTTGTTTGAACTGAATGTTACATACCGGGAAATAAAGTATTTCCCTGTACTTCAGCATTAGCATCAGCTACATAAAACACGCTTATCTCATTGAAGTAGAGTGATAAATTGTGCTTGTGTAGTTGATCATTTTTTAGACTCAGGAGAGTTTATTGAAATTACAGCCTTTTAATATACAAGCACACCCCCAAAATACCAAAGCTCCAGTTATATTTAACGCAGTGGTGTGCAGTGACTTTTACAGCAAGGCAAGCGGGGAGACAACCAGAGACCAGAAACTCAAGAAGAAACACAAATGTTCTTCCACTGGACCACATTAAAGCCTTTTCGAGTTTTTCTCCTGTCCATCTTTATTCTTATATACATGCTGACAGCCCTGTGCATCTCTGCGTGCTGTACCTACCCTGAAGTATTCTAAAATATTGTACTTACGTCTGTAGTGTCATCAAAATGTTTTGGATTCGCTGAGTTCCCGCGAATTCTAAAGGAATTTTCCTTTATTGAAAGCAAGATTGAAATATTATTTAAAAAATGTCATCAAACACCAAACTGTATTATTGGCAATGGTAAATAAAGTATCAAAAGTAAAAGTACTTAGTGTGCAGAAAAATGTTCCCCAACATGTTATATGCATGTTAATATAACATCCATATGATGGATATGAATGTTATTGCTGTAGGTGTTTAAGGTTGGGTGAATTGTAAATGTTGTAAATACTATATGCTAAGTATATTGCATTTAGTATATTAAATTAAAACGCTTGAGCAATGAGGGCCATGAGTAATCACCACTTAGTGATTGCCTCCATTGTTGATTGTTTTTTTATATAAACTGTATAAACAAATGATTTCTCAGAGATGCTAATCTGCCTTACCTGTTAAACTTCTTCACATTGCACTCTAACCCCTCTAAATTACACTTGTTGGTATCGGTGGTTAGTAAGCGAAAATGTATCTGATGATAAATCACAGAGGGTTTGTTTAGTTGCTAAACAAACAGGCAGATTGAAACTGATCTCAGAGCAGTGAAAGCAGAGCCAGCAGCAGATTGTCTATGTGTCGTATGGACTGCGAACGCCTCTGTTTTCCCCCAGATGAGCTGGAAGAGTTAGCCAGAGTGACAGAAGTGTGAGTTTCTCTGCTTAGACTCCTGACCTGAACCTGGATAAGTAGATAGATGGATGCAAACAGATGAGAAGCTGTAGACAAAAAGTTGTTTAAAATAAGAGAGATTGGTTTCAGGATTTGATTGATCTCTGCTTTTAGATTTCACTGTTCAAGCACTGCTTGCCTTGCTTGCCCTGATGGAGTGCCGCTAATAGATTTCCTAAAATCTGGCCAAGCAAAACTAAACCAAACCTATAACTGCAGTACTCACATTAAAAGTGATTTATTGAAGGTTGATTGCGCTAATAATGTTTCCCCAGAAAGATTTGCATTCATTACATTGTTGAAGCTCGTTTTTTAAAAACAACTTTAAATCTGTTCTTCACCAGGGTCCCCCAGGATCTCAGCCTTCACCTCACACGCAGCCTCCTCCACATAACCCCACTAATCCCATGATGGGACCTCATGGACAGGTAAGAACCAAACATTTATCCAGTCTGTCACTTTGCTTGTAGGTTCCTTCTTGAGCCTACCCTTGATTCCACTCGCTCACTCGCTCAAATAACAGTGAAAAGTGTACAAACAGCACACAGGTCCCTCGTGCTAACAGGCAGGACGGGCAGCATCCACAATGGTGGATTGGATGAATAATTTAGCTGTGTTGGCCCAGCTGTAAAGAGCGGAGGTGCATCTGGAGGGCCTCCTCTCTTCCTCAGCCCAGCACTCACCATCCCGTAGTCCATCAATAGACCATTAATATTGCAGCACAGCCTGACATTGTGCAGCTCTTCATGCACAAACCCACCACAACACGGTCAAAGGAGGAGAGAAGAGGAGCCGAAGAGAAAGCCGACTTAAGCGACAAGGGTACAAATGAAAACGGTAGTGAGTCGGTTCTCACTTCGAGGACTAATTGTTATTATATAACTCATCTTCCACTTGCTCCAACCACACACACACATGGCAACACACAAAACATGTAGTACATAATTATAATTTAAATGCAGTCTCATGCTGTATTTGTGTTGTGTGTGCTTATCTCTGTGATAAGATGATGATACAAACATCATGCGGCTCATGCTCCGTGACCAAAACACCCAAGTCTTACCCAATCAGCATTCAAATCTGCACGTTTCCTCTTGATACTAAAATAGTTGGACTGACTTTTGAATTAATTCTTATCGTCTAACATCGAAATGTGGTCCACCGGGCGTGGATATTTGTAGTTGTAGCAGCATATTCTCAAAGGTAATTCTGAAAACCATCTGTCTCTGGTGTTTTACATTATTCACTAGTTGTGTG